AAGTAAAATTGGTTATCAATTGTCGTATTCTAATCTGTTATTATTTAATGGTTATCTACAATAATGAACATCCTTTTAAGTAAAATAAGTAAAAAAAATGGTTTTACAATAAATTTCAGGTTGGTTTATTAAAGAGTTACATACACAGATGTATACGTTTTTTATACTTGTCTATTAATTATTTTCACATACTTTGTTAAATCTACATCAGTAACAGTCAATTTTTATGTAAAAATTGTAATCTAATACATATATACTTTGCTAAATCTACAGTAATATAGTCAATTTTATGTAAAAATTGTCGTATTCTAATCTGTTATATGCAATATTCGAAGCATTATATGCAATTTGCATACATTCCGACTGTCAACTTTTGTGTAAAAAGTGCAGTAGTCTAATCAGTTATATGCAATTTTCGAATCATATGCAATTTGCATACATTCCGACTGTCAATTTTTGTGTAAATATTGCAGTATTCTAATCTGTTATATGCAATTTTCGAAGCATTATATGCAATTTGCATACATTCCGACTGTCAATTTTTATGTAAAAATTGCAGTATTCTAATCTGTTATATGCAATTTTCGAAGCATTTAATGCAATTTGCGTACATTCCGACTGTCAATTTTTATGTAAAAATTGCAGTATTCTATTCTGTTATATGCAATTTTTGAAGCTTTACATGCAATACTTTGCGCAAATATTTTACATTTCCTTTGTAAGTTGACAAGTAAATGCGATCTGTTGTAGTTGTAATATATTTTTACATAAAATTAACTATATTACTGTAGATTTAACTAAGTATATATGTATTAGATTACAACAATTTTTACATAAAAATTGACTCTGTTACTGATGTAGATTTAACAAAGTATGTGAAAATAATTAATAGACAAGTATAAAAAAACGTATACATCTGAGTATGTAACACTTTAATAAACCAACCTGAAATTAATTGTAAAACGTGTTTTTTTTTACTTATTTTACTTAAAACGATGTTCATTATTGTAGATAACCATTAAAAAATAACAGATTAGAATACGACAATTGATAACCAATTTTACTTTGGGTTACCTCATTTACATAAAAATTGACCCTGTTACTGTATACAAGTGTAAAAAATACATTAATAACATTATATGCTGTAAATATAGAACGGAAAGTTGTATTTTCTTTTGCGCAAAACGGGTATGTCTGCTACTGTATCATCTGATTGTATTATTTGTTGTTGGGACCGCAAAATTTGTTATTTTCTATCTAAACATTGCTGTCATAAATTGTTGTTAAAGCCCCAGTTGTGGCTTTATGTATAAGATGCAATTATTTTTTCTTTTATGTAAATATGAAGGTCATAACAAATTCCTCATTCGCGCCAAACAAATATAATTTCAAGGTTAACTGCAATGCAAAGGTCAAATGAAACTCATCACCCTACGTCATCTTCTTCGGAAATTCACGTACCAGCTACATTTAAAATTATTTTAACAATAATAATAATAATATTTTAACCATAACTGGTATTTGTAACTTGATTATTTCTAATGCACAAGGCGCAAATTTATTTGGGCTGCATGTGACAAACATTTGAATTAAAATCTCCGTAAACAATTTTGTTGTTGTTGTAATGTTTGTATTTGTGTATAGCCACTCCTGAATATTAATCCGAATTAATACATCCTTTATTATGTGCAAAACAAGAAAAATCACTACTAAATTATTACAACTACAGCTTCCAATTACTTTTCAACCTACGAAGGGAATGTAAAAATTTGCAAAAAGTATTGCATATAATATCAAAACTAAATTCTCAAGGTGACACTCAAGCAATATTTATCTGTAACATTTAACTGAACATATGTCAAATGAATGTCATCACATGATGTGATATTTTTTCCTTTTTACATACGAAATTTATTTTCGCGCCAGAGTATGTCTTTTCTTGGTTAAGCTATGTATGGAAATATTTAAATTTTATTTTATGCGGCAATATAGGCGTGTTTTATAAAATATCGTTCGCTTCTATAGTGTCGTATTACTCTGACCCAGATCGTTAATCACAAATGAATTTCATACATACTCCATTCCTTATATATACAGCTGTTCAAGCATGCGTTGTGTTCATTCCAATATCACACCAATATCAAAGCCAAATTCTCAAGGTGACATTCTCAAGCAATATGTATCTGTAACATTTAACTGAACATATGACAAATGAATGTCATCACACAATGTGATATTTTTTTCGTTTTTACATACGAAATAAAAATCATACTATCATGCAATATACAGGGTTATTCAAAAAACAGCTGACAGACTTCTAGGGTAGATAATACATAAAAAATTAAGACGAAAAGTTTTAATAAACATAGGGTCGCAAATGCCTCCTTAACGAGATACAAGGCGTCAAAGTTTCTGTAAAATTAAACGTCAGAAATAATTCCAAAATGCCTGAACATTTCTATTTCAAATTTGCTATGCGTAGTTAGCACCTTAAGACCAATGTTTGATGTACTGCTCAAAATTTTATGAGCAGCAGTGTCGTAGAGACGGGGTCAACGTGACCCTTTTTTAAAAATATTTTCTACGCCACTGCTAATTTTGTCAAACGGGCACTATTTTCGTGTAAAGTGTTCAATTGTCTATCGAATTGGTCTCTTGCAAAATTTGGATTAAAGCAACCATTTTTAAGAGAAACACCTTTGTAGAAAATTTGTAAATCCAATTTTATTTTCATTCATTTTAGTTTCGCATAGTAGGCTTGTGCTATTCAAAATAAAATTAAACATCGCCTGTCACTAATGTCAATGTGTACAAGTGAGTTAAGTAAACTAGATTATAAGCTTCTTTTTGTCATTTTTACGCTTTAATTTTACAGAAACTTTGACGCCCTGTATCTCGTTAAGCAGGCATTTGCGACCCTATATTTATTAAGACTTTTCGTCTTAATTTTTCATGTATTACTTACCCTAGAAGTCTGTCTGCGGTTTTTTGAATCACCCTGTATATGCATAATCGTTAGATAGGTATATTTAAATTTTGTTTTACCGCCAAAAGTAGACGTGATATAAATATCGATCGCAGTCTGTTCAAGGTTCAGCTATGCATATAAAGATTTGAATTTTATTTTAATCGGCAAAATGCATTTATATAAATAGAAATATTTCAAATGAAGGTTATATAACATGCTCTATCATTCGCGCCAAACAAATGTAATTTCAAGGTTAACTGCAATGTTTGTAAAACACCAGCAAATTTGTTGGTGCGATATTTTTAAATTTATTTTGAGCACCAAAATGCATTTATATAAATAGATATATTTCAAATGAATGTCATAACAATCTCCCTAATTCATAGTATACATATATAACTTCAAGGTTAACTGTAATGCATTAGAAAAAAGGAATATGATTTCCAGAGATGATGGCAAAAGCTATCGTAATTACAACGGTGTGATTAATAAATTATATGACCTACCTAAGGTACATAAACCTCAATTAGCTCTTCGACCTATCATCTCTGGTATTCATAGTCCCAATAGAGGTGTTGCTGAACTGGTCACCAACATTTTGACTATGTCTTATGACAAAGATAATCCCTTTTTCACTCTTGACTCTTTTCATTTTAGTAATTTTATTAATGACTTTAGATTACCAGAGGACTTTGTTTTAATCAGTTTAGATGTTGTTTCTTTGTTTAGTAATGTCTCTATTAGTTTGGCTAGGGATTCTATACGATGTCATTGGAATCAAATTAACGAAAATTGTAATATTACTCTACAATATTTTTTGGAACTAGTCGAATTTCTTTTTGATTCTACTGTGTTTTCGTTCAATAATCAAATTTATAAGCAAATTTTAGGTATGCCCATGGGTAGTCCTGTCTCACCCATATTAGCTCAATATGTGATGGATGACTTACTTGCCGAATGTATTAATCGTTTAAATTTTGAAATTTCGTTTATTAAAAAATACGTTGATGATATTATTTTGAGTGTTCCCTTGGGTAGCATACAACAAGTTTTACATATTTTTAATAGTTATAGCCCTTTCATCCAATTTACTGTGGAGGAAGAAGACGAGAACAAAAGTGTTCCGTTTCTTGACACTAAAGTTTTCAGAGCTGAAAACAATATTCTTTACACATCGTGGTATACAAAACCTGGGGCATCGGAACGATACTTGCATTTTGCATCGTACCATCCCATGAAACAGAAAATTAATTTATTGTTAGGGATGAAAAACAGGGTCTTACGCACGTCACATCGTTCAAAAACGATGGAAAACCTGAGAAAACTTGCTCAGTTGTTCCTTAAATGTGGTTACCCAAGTAGGCTTGTTAACAAAATTCTTTTTAATAGAAATAATGATTTACAAGTTCTTTCTCCTTCACATNGCAGCAACTCGGCATTGAAATATTTGAAAAACTTGTTCCCATATTTAATTAGGCATACCCATAAACAGGTCTGGTCGAACTAAATATGTGGAGATGATAGAAATGGAAAACGAGCACAGTTGTATTGGGTTTCTGGGCCAGTGGCATAACCAGATCTGTATAAAGATCTGTATCGCCATTTTTATCATAGCCGTAGCCGCTGGGCCGCTGCGCTGCCCGCGCCGGCGCCGGCCGCATGGCGCACGGACGGACCTGGGCATCAGTCAAGATTCCTAAAGGGACAGGTTGCCTGACTTTCTACGTCACTGAGTATGCCGATCGCATCGCGTACTTGATAAATGCATGATACATGTATCGCGGTTTGTCATAATTTGTGTTGAGCTATGAGTCTGTACATGGTAGTCTGTGCTGTACATGTTTTGTGGTTATCCATTTTGATTTTGCTTATTTCCTGTTGTGATTTTTGAGATATTTTTTGTGATAGAGTCTGAAATGAGGTCTTCTACTGATTTCTGAAGTCCTGCTATTTAAATGTGAGACACCCTGTATATATATATATAACGTATTATAAAAAAATCTAATTAATGCAATTCTCTTTAATTATCAAGAAAGAATTGAAGTGATAGACTTATCAGAGGAAGATGTAGATGATGATGATGATGATGATGGTGAAAATGACTGGGTTGGTGTTGACGGTAATGTAGACAATAAATGCATTATGAAATCTAATTACCACAATTTTCTTTTTACAAGAAAGAATTGAAGTGATAGACTTATCAGAGGAAGATGTAGATGATGATGATGATGATGATGGTGAAAATGACTGGGTTGGTGTTGACGGTAATGTAGACAATAAATGCATTATGAAATCTAATTACCACAATTTTCTTTTTACAGAACTTATAGCCATGGGTGCCCTCCAACAGAGATAAAAAAAATATTATTTTTTTTTTGTAGCAGTTAATATACGTTTTTTTAATATAATACTGGATAACCATGGCATGAAACTGGCTAACAATGACGTAAAACTGGATAACAGTGATAAAAAACTGGATAACAGTGATGTAAAACTGGATAACGGTGATGGAAAACTGGAACAAATATCGACGCCACCAACGTATCTGATACTTCACCTGAAGGGTACGTCCTAAAAGTAGAATTTTTGCATTCTGCTTATCTTAATATGATTGTAAGCAGACTTGAAAATTCGCTCTTCGTTGGTCTTATTTACTTGAGCCGGTTTGTATCCCGTGGTGCGATGTCGGGTTTCGTTGTAGGATTTCGTAATTTCTGGTAAAACGTATATCGATTAGATACGTCAAACGGCTACGAATTCCATTCTTTCGAGGCGTTTTCATGCGAGACACCTTACCATCTACAAGGCCGTGTCGACGAGAAAGTGCCATTTTAAATTTAGACTTAAATAAGAACAAAGGCACTCACTGGGTAGCTTTATTGGTAGTTTTTTTTTGGTTTTTCAAGAATAAACCGTAGCCTCCGTGTTGATTCTTTCTCAAATACAGACCAGATCCTTTGGCTCCGATAGCTTCATGGCTTCGTTGTGTCGATGCTCCTCCGTAAGTTTTTTTGAAGCATTTCTAGCATCGATTACTGTTTTCGTTCAAATATAGAGAAGTTGTTAGACCGCTATTCTATTAAGCAGACACAACGTAAAACTACTGGTAGAGGTTTATTATCTCGCACTAACAAGTTAACTTACAATACAAAGCCGATGGAATATATTTACTGGGATGACCCCAACAAACTTGCCGATAGTCTAAGATTACTGGTAGCATCTAAGAACGCTGGAAATTCGTCATACGACGACGAAATTTCAGCAATTATCGAGGAGTTAAAGCAGAATATATAGAAAGAACGCTGGAAATTCGTCATACGACGACGAAATTTCAGCAATTATCGAGGAGTTAAAGCAGAATATATAGAAAGAACGCTGGAAATTCATCTAAAGTATTTGAATATAAATTAAATTTGTTAAGGAATTCTTTAAAAAATTAAGTTGACAACTTGGAGATTAAGCCCGGTACTTTCTTGTTTACCAAAGGTATATTATTATATTTATCCCCTTATCGTAATTGAATTTTAAATTTAGCGCCAATTGACCATATGACGTCACTTCCATGCCACCATGACAATTCTTGTAGCTCGATGGATGCTGACCATGTAACGTTACATTCATGCCGCCATGACACTTTTTGTATGTCACCATCCAGCTCAAGTATCGAATGATGCAATACTGGATAAGAATGACGCAATGCTGCTTTAAATTTTAAATTTACCGCCAACTGGCCATGTGACGTCACTTCCATGCCGCCATTACACTTCTTGCCTAACACCAATTATAAAGGAAATAAAATATCAGCTTCTTTTATCAGGCTCCCCAAGGTAATTGCTAAAAAGCACGCTTGTGTTAACGTTAAAAATTATGACGATGACGCCTGCTTCGCTTGGTCTATTGTTTCAAAAACTATCGCAATTGGTTTTCTCCGGCCAGCAGTGGTTGTAAACGTTGAAAAAATTGATAATTGGCGGAATAACCCCCCACCGCTTGCCCAAGTTGACATACCTCGTTGTTCATATCATATGAATCCAAAATGAAACAGTCAGATGCAGCAAGAGAAACTGCAAAGATCTTTTCCGTTGGGTATACAATTTATTACCATGATGAAGAATAAAATAGTTACTTTCAACGAATCAAAAAATAAAGTGTATCTAATGAAAACGTGGGCTTTTGCGTCTACTGCGGCTCGATGTAGATACTGGGAAGTTTTCGCTGTCGACAGACTTAGATTCAAGAGAAGAATTGATATGGTATCCAAAATTCTGGAACCATTATTAGATGCGCATCTTGAAAAAATTCACCAATTAAATATCCAATCCGATATAGCACGATACAACAATTCAAAATACTGATAGCTGTATAGAAGTATGGATGCCAGGAGAATTCCTGAAGAACCCACTGTTTATTATTGACTGCTCCCATCAAGCCGATACTTTAAAATCTTCTACGGTGGACATCAAACTGGAATTTGAAACTCGAAAAAATAAATTTCCAGCCAATACTAAGGCTTACGCATTAATTCTTCACGATGCTTACCTCACATACAATATATTAGATGGCTCTGTACACTATGGTTTTCCATTTCTTAAGTACCACTGTTATGATTTTTAGTTGATAAATATTTTATATAATTCATTATAATTAGGTAGCTGCTAATTTTGTAATTTAATTGGAAAAAAATAAAATAATGTCTATATAATTTCTGTTTTATTTGTTTTATCCTATCCAAAAAATAAATAAAATCCACAAATAATAATAATTATATATTTATATTATGCATACATATATTAAAAGACAATTTATAACATAAAAATAAAATTAAAGTACATGGGTATAGGTGGAAATTGTTTAAATTTACAAATATTGTATTTTCGGTTATCTAACTTCTCCGTCACTCTCATAGTCACTCGTCTCATTTAATCCAAACATATTTAAAATATCTTCAGGTAAATGACTGCTTATTTTGTTGAGAAAACCTTTTAAACCCGCATCAATCATCGCATTGCAGAATTCCTCAATGTTTAATATTCCATATATGTATCTCTGGCATAAATTGACACCCAAAGAACACTTGTCGACATTATTCATATGGTATGCCTTATCTTCCTCCTCAAGACAATAATTGGCATTTTCGAGTTCGGTCCATGCTGTAGAATTCAGCTCCCATAACAATCCATCAATTGACAGATTTAAATGTTCCCACTCTTGTACGGACATCGTTCAATGGGATAGAGGTTCACCTAAAACATTTATAAAAAAATATTTTTATTAACATTTTATTTATCACAGCAGAAATATTGAATTATCTGACTATATTAAATAATTATTTTGCGATGTTTGAGAGTAATAGTATGAAGTGACGTAGCCAGCGATCTTAAATATAATAATTAAATTATTTCCACCAATACTTTCAGAGTTTATAACTTGCATAACTAAAAGTTTGTTAAATGTAAAGAATGTTTGGTTAACTATTTAATTGCATTAAGATTATAACAATATAAAAGCTTGTAAAATGCAAAAAACTATTTCAAAAACTTATAACTTGTTAGGAGCACTAGATACAATTACTTGAATAAACAACAGAAGGATTTAGAAAATAATTTAATTATTATATTTCAGATCGTAGCAGCACTGCACTAATACCAATTTCTGATGTGTGTAGGTAGTATGATTCTAAATCGAAAGCTCGCGCCTTTTTATATCCAAAATGCGGTTCCGTGATGCACTAATGCGACCTAAATATGGTGCGAGCAAGCCGTTTAGGTGGGGTTCGCTCGTGGGCAGTAGACGGGAAGCCACGATAACTGGATGATATCGAATTTTGCTCGGGGCTTTGTATTTAATATTCCACTAATGTATTTTTGATAACATTAATTACCTGTACTTATGTGGAGAAATTATAAGTCGTCGAGCGAGCTCGACAAGAGGTTCAGATTTTGTTTGGGGTCTTTCCGCCACGCGTTGACACCGTGTGACCCTCGAACGATAAACTTTAAATATATATTTTCTATAGAAATATGTAGCACAAATATTATTTTTTTAATTACTATTCACTAATGTGTTTTTGATAACGTTAATTATTTGTAATTACGCTAGGGAATTTCGGTAGTAAAATCCAACATGAGTTTTAAATATTTTCTACACAAATATACAGCACAAATATTGGTCTTTTTCATTGAATGACCTCATTTGACCTGGAAGTCATTAGCATTAATTTTGGGGCCTTCCCACCACGCCTTCCGCGCAAACCGCAGCCATCTTGTTAGCGACCTGCCGCTACGTGCTACACCCCGCACGCCGCCCGCCTCCAGCTTGTTCCTAACGTTCAGCGACCCTCCTTCCTCCACACAGACCGCAGCCATCTTATCTCTAACGACCAATCACCTTCCACGCAAACCGCCGCCATCTTATTTCTAACGACCAATCACCTTCCACGCAAACCGCCGCCATCTTATCCCTAACGACCAATCACCTTCCACGCAGACCGCAGCCATCTTATCCCTAACGACCAATCACCTTCCACGCAGACCGCCGCCATCTTATCCCTAACGACCAATCATCTTCCTCGCAGACCGGCGCCATCTTGTGACGTCACATCCGCTGCAGACCGCAGCCATCTTATCCCTACGCAGACCGCCGCCATCTTATCCCTAACGACCAATCATCTTCCTCGCAGACCGGCGCCATCTTGTGACGTCACATCCGCTGCAGACCGCAGCCATCTTATCTCTAACTCCACGCAGACCGCAGCCATCTTATCCCTAACGACCAATCACCTTCCACGCAGACCGCCGCCATCTTGTTCCTAACGACCTAACGCCACACCCCACACGCCGCCGCCATATTGTGACGTCACATCCGCTGCAGACCGCAGCCATCTTATCCCTACGCAGACCGCCGCCATCTTGTGACGTCACATCCGGTCCAGAACCCGCCTATCATATCTACTTAGGGTATCTATTCTCGGGCTGCTTGTCTAGCATTCCCATTAGAATACCCATATACAAAGACGATATACAGGGTGGTCCGAATTTTATGTAGGAAACTTCGAGGACAGATACATTTCTTCAAAATAGTAGGTGTTTGCTTTATAATCATAGGTCTGGAATCGTCTGGCCTTGTTTTAGAGATACAGGGTGTTGAAGTTGTTAAAAAAATTTGATTTTTAGTTTATATCTCCGGATTCAATGATCGATTTCAATAAAATTTAGTACAGATAATGTATGATAGTAGACCTTGTATTCCCTAAAATATGAGCTCTAAAGGTTCAAGCAGTGGTGTACAACTGGACAGGGTCACCCCCTTTTTTGTAAAAAAAACCTGCGCCACTGTATTTTTTACAAGATTTTGTAA